TCCACACCCCGGGATTATTGTCGTCGTCGTCGTTGTCGTCGTCGCCGTCTTCGCCGTCGGTGTCGTCTTCGTCGCCGTCGTCGTCGCCGTCGCCGTCGCCGTCGCCGTAGCCGTCGCCGTCGCCGTCGCCGTCGTCCTCGTCGTCGCCGTCGCCGTCTCCGTCGTCGTCCGTCGGCGTAGTCGTCCTCGTCGCCGGGGCGGCAGGAGGATCGGGGTAGAAGAAAAACGACGTTGACGTCGCCGTCGTCGTCGTCGTCGCCATCGCCGTCGTTGCCGTGGTTGTGGCCGTGGCCGTCGTCGGCTTCGCCGTCGTCGACCCTGCGGGCAGGACTCCGTGGACGGGGCCCGCTTTGGCGGGAGGGCCCGACGGACTTCATGGGCGGGGGCCGCTGGGCGGGACGTACCAGAACGATGGTTGAACTAGCGATCGGCGATACTCAGATTCGGAAAGTCTTTCGGGCACTTCGGGTCCACCCCTAAGAGACCTTGGGCACCCTTGGTCACCTCTTGGGTCGCCTTGGGCCTCCCTTGGGCAATATCTGGGACTTTTTGGGGCCTCGTGGTCTGTCTTGGAGCGATCTTGGGCCCCCTTGGTCACCTCTCGTGGGCCGGCTTGGGCGCCTCTTGGGTCGCCTTGGGCCTCCCTCGGGCAATATCTGGGACTTTTTGGGGCCTCGTGGTCTGTCTTGGAACGATCTTGGCACCCCCTCCGTACCGTGCTGAGCGTTGTTGAACCGAAGAAAGCGAATCCGCTAGACAGATGCGTTTCCCGGGAGGGACGGAGGCAATTTGACTTGTTTGGGCCCCGCTTCCACAGCCTCCTCGGGCCCTCTCGGGCCCTCTCGGGGCCCCGTGGGCTGTCCCGAGGCCGTCTTGGGCGGCCCTGGTGCGCGGCTGGGGCGCTCCTGGGCAGCCCTGGAGGCCCAGCGCGCCTTCTGGAGGCCTGCCTGGGTCCTCCGGAGGCTGCCCCCGGCGCTCTCGGAGCGGTCCATGGGAGCGAGGCCGCCCCGCAGTCAGGGCCGAGAACGTGCCCTGGGACTTCTTGGTCACCGCGTGTGCCAGCGGGGGGCCGGCGAGGCCAGCGCTCTCAACGCCTCAGTCATCACAAGCACTCGGGCATGGATTGAGCCTCGGGCTCCAGGCCAATCTACGGACGTAAGCAAACGTGTCGGGTGTTGCCAGAAGTGCCCCCTGGCCCGAGGTGCCCCCAGCTTGTCGCTCCGTTTTTGAGCCCAGGGGGCCCTATGGGTCTCGTGAAGGGTGCCCTGGAGGCCGACTGGGCCACCCCGAGATTCCTGGGGGTACCTTGGGCCAGGGGTACTTCTAGCAACACCCGAATGTAAGTGACCAGTGCCACACTGGCAGGATACAGCAGTGGGAGCATGCTCGATGTGAGAAGCGCCGACGCCAAGCGGCAATCAGCAGCAAAATCATCTACATAATCCGAATCCTCTGCGTTCAATCGTTCGACCTCTCGCTGCATGCGGGCACAGAACATGCGGCAATTGTTGGTATATAAATGCATGTCGCAATCGTAAGCTAAAGCGAATTTCTGGAGCCGGTCGAGCTTTGAGCCTGGCAGTACACCTTGTCCAGAGTGGCGAACTCGGACTTCTCCAGGAAACTGACAGCCAAGAAACACCATCCATTTGGCCTCCTCGTTCCACCATACCTCTGACGTTACGCCTCCTCGGGTCATGAAATCCATAAACAGACGGGCAGATCCGACAGAAGACCTCACCATGATTCCTTGATGCGTGTCCCGGAAGATCCAGGCCACAGGGTCTTGTGGCTGTCCAGGGAATGGATAGAAGCCCTTGATGCGGCACGAGAGCACCTCTTTTGCGGCAGTGTCGGCAGTTCTTGCCGCAGATGAACGATCAGAACCTGAGTGCTCTAATGAAGTCTTGGACAGTGGATCCCCAGCACTTTGCTGCGCCTCCGCCGTCGATATGCTTGCCTTTGCTCGCCCTGACTGTACAGGTTGCCATGCCCGAATTGTCGACAGAGTCAGGCCAACCCTTGCATACCCAATCATACAGCAAGCAAAGCAGCACACCAAAGCGGAGCCAAGTCCATGTTTGCAGCCTTGCCGGTGCACAAATATCAACATATATGGATCAACTCGGGAGCTCGAGGCCTGATGTTGGGAGATTTGTGGAAGCAATTATTTGACCTCAAGCTTACTAGGAACAACGCTTTTAGCAGTCCTGGCTTGCGCAGCGATTTCGAAGTAAATATTGCATCCACGCTGCATCCCGATTGCTCTCAGGTATTGCCCTTCATAGACTTGGGAATTTGCACGATCTTAAAACAAACAAAAAACCCAATCGGAGATCAGCCAGTGGTACGGTTCGCGCATGAAGAAACATCAGCATGCAGACATGCTTTGGAAACGTCCCTGCGCATTGGAAAATCTGAAGCTGTTTCAGACGAGGATCTAATCCTATCCTCCGCTGCCCTTGGGAAACCCATGCGATGGAGTCCGTCCTTACCCAACTTGGGCACAACTGCGAATCGAATTGCCCTGACCGTGGCCGTGGACATCTGCCAGCGAGCGAATGGCACGCCATAATGTGGTGTTCGCCCGCCCAACGGTTCAGAGTCGTGCTAAGATCTCCGGTAACTGGTTAAGAATATTTCTAGTTCGCGCGCGCGGGGCGGCCCCTGGGGGCCCCCGGACGAAAAGTACTCCGGCCAGGTCCTGGTCAGGTCCCCCCAAAGCACTCCAGGGGAGGGCCATTTTTCGACACCCCTCACGAAGATCGTGGCCTCTGAGGGGGGAGCTCCCCTCCCGCCCCAAGAGGCCCCCAAGAGACCCCAAGAGACTCCCAAGAGGTCCCCAAGAGGCCCTAAAGAGGGCTCTAGGGCCGGCGGAATGAGCGACGCGATTCAATAATTCTTGGTGCAAGTGGTACAGCTGCCTGGCATTTGTCCTGCAACTTTACAATGGCGGCACCCTGTCGCCGCGCCTGTCATAACAAGCGGGGCCCCGCATTCTGCTCTCTAGCACCTTCTCAGACTCCAAGGAGAGCACAACCGACCACAAAACGCACCAAGGCCCCCGCACGACACTCACAGGACGCTTGACAACCAGTCCATGACGGCCCAACACCCCCAAACACACACACACACAAACACACACACACACACACACGCACACACACACACACACACACACACACACACACGCACACACACACACACACACACACACACACACACACACACACACACACACACACACACACACACACACACGCACGCACGCACGCACGCACGCACGCACGCACGCACGCACAGACACACACACACACACACACACGCACGCACGCACGCACGCACGCACGCACGCACACACACACACACACACACACCCACGCACGCACGCACGCACGCACGCACACACACACACGCACACACACACACACACACACACACCACAGCGGCCCCAAGAGAGGCCCCGAGAGAATAACGCAGCAAGGGGCCCCCAGGCAGTCTTGCTGCCATTGGCCTTCCACGCTTGTCGGCCGCAGCTGGTCGCAGTCGGGCTTCAGAAAACTCCACGGCGGCACCAGCGCGCTCCAACAACGGGCCCTGCCAGGACGGTCCTGGACGGCCCCACAAGGGCCCCGACAAGCGCTTCGGCCCGTGGACTCCAAAAACGCCCATGACCGCTGCCAGCGGGATGCAAGATGACTCCCCAACCCGTCCGGGCGGCCCCAAGATGGTTCTGGCGAGCGTGGTCTTGCCTCGATCGGCCATCGCGCCCAAGAGAAGACCTCGTAAGACCCCCCCGACAGGTCCAGGAAAGCTCGATCGAGTCCTCGCACTCAAGGCGGCCCAAGACAATCCTGGGGGCCAGTGGCGGATCCATAGAACAGTGGTTCTGCCGAGCCTCCGTGGGAGAGCTCGGCAGACGCGTCCTGCATACATCTCGACTCTGCACTTCCATGGTGGCGGAGGGTGCCGCAGGCTGCCGTGTGGCATCATGCGGAACACCAGGCTGTGGGCACACACAATCATCCCGCAATGCTTGCACGGTGTTCCTCATGTGCTCAGCGAATTTCCAATGTCGGTGATGCATGCCCGAACACAACAAACTTGTCACAATTCGTCACATCACATCGTTGTTAGGGACGGTATTCCAGAACAACCGGAAAGCTAAGGGCGATAAAGGGCTCATTCCAGAACGCGATGAATACGAGGAGCGAGCATTGCCATCCAGAACGCAACAACCGCATGGAGGTTTGTGAAGCGGACACGGGGTGAGATCTCATATCCCCGTGGTTGACACAAAGGGAGTCCAGTGTCAACCACGAGGACGTTCTGACGGTCGAGGGGTTATTGTGGAAACGAGTGGACAATGGGCGGGATACGGCGTATGCAGCAGCATGTGGGGACTATATGTGTTCTCCATCCTCGCTCGTCCCTCTGCCGACTGCTCCGTCATCCCACATAATCCCTCCGTCCCTTTTCCTTCATACTCCTTGTCCTCGTCCTCCTCCATCTTACCGTTTCCGCCCCCGTCCTGCGCCATCAGGTCAAGATCCGACTGTGAGGGGCTCTGTCTTACAAGAGGCGCATTCCATTGTCACCGTGACTGGGAGTACAAACGCAGCAACACACAATATCCCAGATCCCTCGCACCATCCTCCATCGTCCCCCACGAGAACAACACACGAATTAAGATGGGATGGTCGGACTCGGCACAACGACGATATCTTAACTGGGGGCACCCAGGGATCAACAATGACGGCGACAAGTATTGCCAACTATTTTTTCCCAAGCAGGGCTGAGGCCAGTCAAAACTTGCTCCATGTCGAAACACTTGTAGGTTCATAACGGCCGTGACTGGTGCGTCTAGAGCATGTCCTCCAAAAATGTGCCAAGCGTGAGGTCGTTTAACCTGAAACGCTGCCAGTGCCCAGCAAGTGCGCAACAATCGCGTTCCAGCACACGCCCGCCGCAATCGCACATGAAGGCCCAGCATGTCAAGATCAGCGCTGGCTGGCACTTACCTGCAAGTCGCCGAAACCAAGGAGTTTGTCGACGACAGCCCACTCGGTCAGGCTGAATGGATTATAAATCAAACCATCTGTACAGAATGGGAAGCCACAATCAGTACACAATGCGACGCAAAACCCGGCCAGAAAGCAAAACCACGATGGCAAGTCCTGGCCCCTCCGCCCGACGAGTCGCTGCCACCCTCGCAGCGAACCAGCATGGCCGTGCGCGAGTCCTCGATGATGGTCCTGGCCAACTTCGCCAACACGGTGGCTACACTGCCGATTCCACCCCGCCTCGACCGCCTTCTCCTGGCGGAGGCGGCCCTAGAATACGAAGGAGGAGGAGGAGGAGGAGGAGGAGGATGAGGAGGAGGATGGAGGAGGAGGAGGAAGAAGACGAGGAGGAGGAGGAGGAGAAGGACGAGGAGGAGGAGGAGGCGGAGGAGGACAAGCTTCGCCCTCACCACGACCACGTTGCCGAGACCCCTGGCCTCCAGGCCTGGCCGCCCGTTTCTGCCATGCTTCGGTCCTCGCGGCGCTCGGAGTGGCGACCATGCCGCTCTCCAGCGCCACCCGCCGCGCTCCTCCTGGCGGCCTCGGCGGCCTCCTGGCCGCCTCACGCCGGCTTTGCCCGCCGCCTCCTCCTGGCCTCTTTGCCGCGCTCCATCTTGGCGGCCGCCTCCTGGCCGTCTCCCCGCCTCTGGCTACCTGCAAAACCACCCCCACCCAACCCGAAGCCACCCTCGGGCTCGTCGACTTCCAAAGGGGGGGCACTCCAGAACACCGAGGCACCACGATGGAACCCGTGCACCCCCCCCAGCCCGAAACTTGGAGCAGTCTGGGGCCGTCGGGTTTGGCAGGCCTGGAGGTTGACACCAACACCAAGATCGGCGGTGTGCCTCCACCGAGGGAAGACGATCCCGATCTCGGTGATGGTGGTAATACTCTGGCTTCCAAGGTGACCGAAATATTGCCACCAACACCGGAATCTCGGATCATCTTCCCCCTGTGGAGGCCCCCCCCCGTGTGTTGGTGTTGGTGCCAATTTCCAGGCCCCCAAGGGTTGTGTGCGGGTGGCTTGGTAAGTAGTGGGCCTCGCGAGCGAGCCCAGAGTCGAAGCGAGAATGCGGTGGCTCGGCGGTCGACGCGCACCAGGTCGGCGGAAGTCGGCAGGCGAGCCGGGAGAGGTCGAGTCGGCGGAAGTCGGCAGGCCAGCAAGCCTCCAGCGAGGCATCGGGGTCCAGATCGGGATCCGAAGTCGAAGCGATTCGAAATCGGAAGCCATCCAATTCGGATCGAGACGGATCGGAGGGATCGGGGAGAGCCCTGGCTGGAGGAGGCGAGGAGCCGCAGAAGGGGCACGGGGGCGGACTGCGCACCTGGAGGCACGTGAACCCAGAGGAGATGGAGGAGCAGGAGGAGGAAGAGGAGGGGGAGGAGGAGCAGGAGGCGGAGGAGAAGGAGGAGGATGAGGATTCGATTTGACACGTCGCATCGCAGAGGCGAGGACCAGCAGCGACAAGGGAAAGTCTCCAGCGAACCTAACCCCAAAGGGGAAGGGCGCCCCAGAGCTTAACCCTCCACGCCATCAGTCGAAGCCAAGGAAACACCACAATCCACTGCACTGGAGAAATCAGCACGAGGCACCAGCTCGTCAAGCGGCACATCCCCTCTCAGGTGGCTGGGATGGATGCCTTTACGGATTCTGCTAAAATGTTGCTCCTCAGGTGGGCCGAGGAACGCCCGCCTTTACAGGCGCTTTCCAAGGCACCCTAGTCTCACTCCCTCGCTGACACTGACACAACCCATGCATCAGAACAGCGTCGCTCCAACAAGAGTACCTGTGACATGGATTTTAGAGCCCTGTGTCTCCTGCGCCAGGATGCTGACCACGGAGTTGACTCCGAGGCAGTCTGCAGCTTAGTGGGCCCTGGAAACGACAGGGCCGTTTTTTTACCGGTTCCGTTTTGCCGTTTTTGTTGCCGGTTCCGACGCCGTTGTTTTACTGGTTCCGTCGCCGTTGTTTGACCGGTTCCGGCTCCGGTTCCAATCGTGGAGCCGTTTTTTTGCCGTCTCCGGTCGCCGTTTTTTTGCCGTTTCCATTTTCAGGGGACATGTGTTTAGGAAACGGTGAAAAAAACGGCCCTGCCGCTTCCGGGGCCCACTAAGGTCCGCAGCAGTTTCGGGCGGGCCGGACCGAACGCGGAACAAGCACCTGCGGCAAGCCCATTTGCCGCAGATCCATCCAAATTGGTGGCCCCTCACCTACCTCAGGCAAGGGGCGCGACCAGCAGCCCTTGGGTCCCAGACATCAAGAGGAAGGGGGGAGGTCGGCCCGGCGCAAGCCACGGAAAAAACGCCCCCAGCAAAAATCGAGAGAAATGCGGGGGCGCTCTTGAGGAGGCTCCCCAGGGGCCCGGGGAGGGCACTACAACTCCCAAGCCAGCCGCGCCCAGCACCTCAGCTGCGGCGCTGGCGGAGCTGGCGCTGCCTCCAGCGGTCGCCTGGCGTCTGGCGGTGGCGCCAGCGGCGCCAACCATGGCGCTGGCACTGGCGGCGCTGGGAGCGCCTGCCCTACCCGGGCCTCTGGCTGGGTCTGGCAGGTGCAAGTTGGATCCATAGCAAAGGCGCTCTTGCTACAAAAATCAGAAACTTCTGAACACTGCTGGCCCCAGGGTCAAACTCGGACAACTCATTAGCGGAGGGTCTGCAGCGGGCGGTCGAGACATCAGCCCAACGGTTGCTTTTTAGCCTTGCACCAGTCAGCTCGAAAAAACGCTCATGGCTGCGAGCTATCAAATGGCCTTTTCACTTTCGTTGCAGCTGCTGCCTGTCCATGGGGTAGGTGGCCCAGGGCAAATAGAACAGGTCAAGCATAGTAAGACCTTATATCATAATGCAAGTCCAAGGCCTTTTCCCTAGCAGCTACAAGCCCTCCGCAGTCCGCGCGCGGCTCTGATGCCGAGTGCGCGCTTGCAACCAGCCAAGAAAGCGACACGTTCAGCAGCCGGGCCTGTCTGAGGTAGCTTGGAGCAAACTTTTCCAAACAAGACGGCGATGGCCCCCCCGTCCTTCTGAAGACTGGCGCAGGTCCAACCAGCATGGCGGTGGACTCTATGACCCTCTTTACAGCACGAGCCATCGTGATAGCATACTTTGTCCCTGAAAGCTTCCAAGGGAGTCGAGAGGGATCGACGCAGCCGAAAGAGAACTCACCATGCCCGACACCTTCTGGCGGTCTCAAGAGACGCTCAGGAAACAGCTAATACTCAAGCATAAAATGATCATTGATATCTTCCTTGCAGATAGCCGAGGACACCTCATCCTCAAAGAACTCATCCCTACCAACTTGCGTCACGGAACAGCCAGATATTCGACGGTGGAGATCGCCCCGAAGGCGCGGGCAATGGCGGCAATAAACATCTTCAAACACGTAGCCCAAGTGGGCCAACTCCACTTGGACAACAAGCTCTGCGAGATGGTAGTTTTGAGCAAGGCACGTTCAGGCTGCGACAGCGCACTGCTTGTAGGAAGAAGCTGCTTGCGCGCTGCGACGTGCATCGGGGTGGCCTATCTCGGCAGCCGCCTTCGAAGACAACATCTGCATCCAAGCTGCCCTCGTATCAGAGAGCACACAAGGGGGAGGCCGCAGCGATGACAACTTCCTGACCCGGGTGGCCCTCCCAACCGAAGGGGTTGATGCACTTCCAGGGCGCCTTCTGCGTAAGGAGGCAATCGCCGCCCCAAAAAGGGCCTTCCACACGGTTCCAAGTCAGGGGCGGATGGCCCAGCATGGGCGGGGCGAGCTCCCTGAGACGTAGCAACGCGGGTTCAAATCCAGGACGCGTCGTGGCCTTCCAGACCAGATTTGCCCAGGTGATCGCGGGCCCCAGCGCCGGGCGGCACGCGGGGCCCTGGTGGGTGGGAAGAGCCAAGGTCCTGGAACTGGATGGACACGCGCTGCCCGCGGTCTGCAAGAAGGGAGACTGCGCTGACGCAACTTCCGAGTGTCCAACCCCGCCACCTCAGCCCCAGAATGCCCAAACTTCTGAAGCCAGCTGATGCGCGGCCGCTGCGTGTCCGCGCCTCCCGCCCGCACTGCAGCCAACCTTATCTTGCGGCACTGGAGCTTCTTAACGCGACCCTTATGGCAAGGCAGTCGCCCCTTCCCTGCATCTGAGCTGGACTCCAGTGGCGTCAACTCCTAGGCTGGATGCCGATCGACCATTCGCCGCGACGTGCCTGGGTCAGACCTTTGTAAGCCGCAGTGGGTCAGAGTCCTGCTTCAGGATCAGCTTGACATCTTTGGATGGGGTACATCTCAGCGCAAACTACCCTGCTGCAGAGACTAGCCACTGGCTCATACGAATACACCTGCACAAGGAACGCGGCGAAGGGGCAACCTGCCAATATCCCTGAGGGAACAAGGACTCCAAGGCATACCCGCCTAGGCACACCGCTGCGAGCACCTGCAAGTCGACGCCTGCAGCCTTTGCGCTCAGTCCAGGACAACGAGAGGTCAACCCGATCGCACTAACTACTCATGCCGCACGGCGCAATCGAAGTGCGAACCTTCTGGTTCGCCGAACAAGTCGGTTCTGCACGAAACTTCTGCGCGAAAGCGAGTTCCAAGATCGAGGCGCCCGTCGGATGGCATAGGCTACGAAGTCGGCGCGGGCGCTCCCACAATCTGGCCACTACCCGAAGCCTGCCGAACACCCGATACAGCGACACGCGAAGCCCAATGCCCCGTAGCTTAACCTGGCCTGGCTTGCGGTTCGGGGTCAGATAAATCGCCGCAGCCTGCAATGCCGAGGGATGCTGGCCGCGTTGCTCATGCGCCTGGGGAGCCCAGCTGACAGATCTCACTACTGATCCAAACGCATCTGATAATGCATGCCGAGTGTGGAATCCACTAGATGTCTGGGAGGTGGTTTGGCACTGACTGCCGAACTGACGTTTCTCATTTTTTTGGCGCGCCAGAGGCGCAGCTTTCATGTCGTTCGGCCCGACTTCTCGGGGGGGGCCTCCAGAGCTGCCGCAGCCTACCCGCGTCAGCCCTGAGGACGCGCGCGGTCTGCCCTGACCGCCGGCCACAGCGCTGCCGCGCCCCCGCCCCCCCAGGCCTCCAGGCATCCTCCCACTTCGTCCGCTTGCGCATCCAAGAGAGACTTGCACTTCCTTGACTGACTACCCACTTCTTCCAGGACGTTGGGCGACTTCTGGTATATCTCGAACGCTCAGCCTTCCAAGCGGGCTTCAAATCCTTCAGGAAGGCCTCAGGAACGCAGTCGGCGACTTTCACGCCTAGGATCTGCTGCCCCGGGTCCTGGAGGATCGCTGCTGGACCCCCCCAGCTCCTTCAAAGAAGCCATTGAGAGAGTGCGCCGATCTGAACTCCGAGGGGCAGGCTTCCAAGTCCTCCAGCGATGTCTGAAGTGCCTCTTCCTGGTTGAGACTGACAGCAACCGTCTGAGCCCACTTCGCTATCCAACGCAGCGGCAGACATTGTGGCTTCCAAGACAGCTTAAGGTTCCCTCAGTGAATATGAAGAGGAGCGCGCACAACCCTGGCTCGACGTGCCCTCTGAGAGACTGTCTTCAATGGGGGTATCTGTCATCCTGCTGATCGCGTGCTCAAGTTCCATGGCAAGACTACCGTGCGCAGCATCCAACGCAGCGTGGCGAGCCTCAAAACTGGCGCGGCCAGGGGCACTTCTTTTTTCCTGCACGACACCGAACACCTCCTCAAGCTTCGAGACATTGTCTTCTAGAACTTCCCAAAGTCAATTCTCACGAGACAGACCACATGGCTCAGCGTGGGGAATGTGCTGGCACCTGCACAACACTGGGATCGCGTGCTGCTCGTCCGACCGCACATGCAGAGACACTGGACAGCGCGGGAAGATGGGGTGCGTCGAATCGACGGACGATGCAGCGACAACGCCAGCCAGCACATGAGAGAGCACCAGAAAATCAACTTGAGCTCAATGCAGGTCGGCTTCGGAGGCCGTACAACGTACTTATCAGCTCTAGCTAAGCACTCAGATGACTCCAGCCTGCGGACTTTCATGTTCCAGTCGTCTGCAACAGGCACCGGTAGCTGAACCTGTTCTAAGAGATTAGCAATACCTTCAAATCGCGCTGAGCTCGTATTGTTCAAGCCTCCTTTAGTCTGCATGTAGAGCGACACTAGACTGAGCTTGCGCAGCCCAGGGGTTGCAACCTCGAGAGCACAAGTTCCATGTGGCATAGAACATTCGGTGGGTCTATGATTTGCACCGATGTTGAGACCTGCCCAAATCAAGGTTGCAACGCCACCAGACGGCGCACCAGAATCCCGAGGAGCAGCCTTCGTAAAGAAGCCAAACCAACCACGATCATAACTCCCCTCAATACCAAGACTGCGTTGCTTCAGCATCCTTCAATCAGGTTTCCTGCTGGAGCAAAATGGAGGCCCCAGCCGAGGGAACTGAAAACTACCAGACTCATGGTCATAGTTCGTCCTGAACGTAGCAAGCGAGTTAGTGCTGAGGGTAGTTAGTTTCAGGGTTCACCCTTGGGCCAACGTTCTCAGCTTTCGACTCAGCCCCCGAGACAACGGCCACCCCCCTGGTAGCTGGACGGGCACCTCGGTGGCTTGGGCAGCGGCGGGAGCGGCCGGGGGCCTGCCATTCCCTTCCATGACTCTGCCTTGGGGTCCTGCTGACGATGCTGAAACCGAACCTGATCCATGAGGAGCACGAGGGACACTGCTTGTGGACCCACTTGCCGAAGTACTGGCTGGAATCCCTTGCCACGCACTGGATCCTGGCCATAGCTTGCACCTTGTCACGCATGTCTGGACATTCCTGGCGAGGGGTTCTCATGTTTTCGTGGGCTTGGCCGATGTCATCGCCAACTCTCTGCTCTCCTCTTCCAAGCATCTCCTCCTCCGAATCCAAAGCGTCACGACTCTCACCCAAGAGCACTTTACAGCTCTTGTGGGTAATCATGTTTTCCACTCCTTCTGGGGGGGCCCAGCATGGCATCAACAAGATATGTTACTTCACCCTTCGCTCTGGAAAGCTCAGCGAGAATGCCCTCCAAGGCCGATAATATCACATCCAACTGCTGGTTACTCTGGGTATGAAGAGTGGCGAACTCATGCATTACCCCCCCGCTCAATCGTGCAATTCAATGCGAGACACCCTCCAGCTCCCGATTAGTGGGCTGATTCGTCATGCAAGCAAGCTGGGCGTTGAAGCTATCCAGCTGGGCTTTCTAATCTTTACACTGAACCGAGGCGGCTTCATATTTGGTATCCACATCAGCTGCTTAAGTTTCCAAATCAGCAAGCGTCTCCAAGACTGTGTGCATGACGTTATTATGATGCTGGATCTGGGCCGCGAGACTCTGAGCTTTATGTTCGGGGGACCGGTTCTGGATAACTTTCCCTTTGGCCGACTTCACTGCTTCATGGGCTTCTGCACGGCGCGTGTCGTTCTGATCCACCCTCCAGCCCTCATAGAACGACCAGGTGCTGTGCCATCAACAACTAACTCATGAGGAGACGGATCAACCCGAGGCGGAGGAACGAGCGGAATATATTCGCGCCTCCAAAAAGGCTTACTTCCACCACCGACTGCTCCCTCCGTACCTGCTATTCCTCCTCCAGCTCCTCCTTCTTGTCCTCTGCCCTTGCCCTTCCCCATTCGGGTCACCCCACCCGCGCCAGCCGCTCTCATCCAAACCTGGCCGCCAGGTGCTGCAGGGGGCACAGCGCGGCTAGCGGCGGCTGGGCCAGATCCGACCTGGGCAGGCGGAGCTGGGACATAGGATATGGGGCTTGGCTCGACGCTTCCGCGAGGACGTGGAGCGAGGGGGCTGGGTGGCGCGAGGACGCGCCGAGAGAAAGGCTGAGCAGACCTGCTGGGCAAACAGCAGGCCGCGCGCAATGCCTGCTGACGCGGCCTCTCGCCTCGAGCCTGCCCCTCGGCTGCAGGCAAGTACGAAGCCGCAGGGCGACGGTTCCGTACATGAGCCAAAATGGCTACGGGGGAGGAGGAGGAGGAGGAGGATTTTTTTTTTCAACCTTCATGCCTCAGAAGGCTCCCGAGACCTCGCCCAGCGACAAGAACAGGCCGTACCCGAAGGAGGACACGTGGAGCATGGAGCGAGACACCTCCGCATTCATGTACTGGTGCATCTCGCTGGCGTTCAGGCCGAATTGCGAAGACCGAGCCCACAGAGACGAGCGACGGCGCGATCTCGGCGGCAGCCACATTCAATACGCACGCATCCGTGCACAACTGTACCAGGAAGCCCCGATTCCGAGAAAATAAAATGCCACCACAGACGCACGAAACCATAGGCCTGGTATCCGAATACACAAGAAAGTCAGCGATCCAACCAGCACATGATCACTCTGGGTCCACACCGTCGGAGTCGTCGAAGACGAGCAAACGAGGAGGAAGCCCAGGAGCCCAAGAAGGCGGCGGCGCATCTGAAGTGAAAAGGCGGCCCTCTCCAGGATCAGGTGGGAGCCCGACGGGCACCCACTGTGCGCTGCTCGACCCGCCCTCAGAGGCGACCACAACGGGGGAGCGGGACCCCGATGCGGGCTGATATACTGCAGCCTCCTGCTTGACGATCTCGGATACAGCATCAGGAAAAATCTGCTGCTCAGTGGAGGCGCTGTCGTGCACGTCGGAGTGGGACTCGAGGTCCGAGTGCTCGGCGGTCGGGAGACGAAGAGGCAGACTGCAAAGCCTGGCAGCATCCAGCTCCGCAAGCCTCCAGCCTGCTGCCAGGCCAAGCCCAAAAGCCTGGCCCTTGGTCTCCTCGCCGAGGGAGGGGAGCGTCTCGTCGACCAGGTCGATCGCCTCCCAGACACCCGGCGCCAGCGAGACCACCGGCCCCGCGAACGGCACCTGCCCGTCGAAGGCGCAAGCATCCACCTCGCACACGGAATCCCCAAGCTCCGACAGCGGCGAGCCGAGGCGCGGCCCTTTTTCCGCTCGGCGCCACTCCCGCGGCGGCGCCGCCTCGTCTGGGCAGGAGGCGGCGTGCCACGCAACATTGCGCCGCTTGCGCTCCTCGGGGGACTCGAAGCGCCCTCGGACACGCGCAAGCAGGGCGGGGCGCGCGATGGCCTCCCTGCGGGCCGCCTCGGCCTCTGCAGCACTCCCTGCGCCTTGCGGCTGGCGAAGGCTGGCGATCGTCTCCAGCGCCTCCGCAAGCTCGCGCTCCAGGCCAAGGATCTGCTTCTGCAGCTTCGCGATGAGGTTGTCTGCAGAAGCTCGTGCACCTGCTGCTCCACGCAGCACTTCCCGCGCCATCATGCCCATAAGCCGAAAACCCCGCTCCCCCAAGTCCCCCCCGCCCGCCAGCGTTGCCCCGATCTGGTTGGGGTCGCAGGGGTCAGCTGGGGACAAGGTCCAGGAGCGGGGGGCCTACGGAAAGGCATGAGCCAAAATGGCTTGAGCCAAAATGGCTACGGAGGAGGAGGAGGAGGAGGAGGAGGAGGAGGAGGCGAGGGAGGAGGAGGGGAGGAGGAGGAGAGGGAGGAGGAGGAGCTCTGGCCTCCTCCTCCTCCTGGCCTCCTCGGCGCTCCCATTCCGCCGCCTCCTGGCCGCCCTGCCCTCGCCGCGCTCCTGCACACTGGCACCCCTCCGGCCGCCAGCGCCCGCGTCCTCCTCCCTCCGGGCCGCCTCCTGCGCCGAGGGGTCTTCGACTGGACCAACGATCGTAGGCCCGAACGCGGAGGATATAAGATGGGGGGAACGGCCCTCCTCCCTTCAGGCCGCCTCCTGCGCCGAGGGGTCTTCGACTGGACCAACGATCGTAGGCCCAAACGCGGGGGATATACGATGGGGGGAGCGGTCTTCCTCCCTTCAGGCCGCCTCCTGCGCCGAGGGGTCTTCGACTGGACCAACGATCCTTGGCCCAAACGCGGGGGGATATACGATGGGGGGAGCGGTCCTCCTCCCTTCAGGCCGCCTCCTGCGCCGAGGGGTCTTCGATTGGACCAACGATTGTGGGCCCGAACGCGGGGGATATAAGATGGGGGAGCGGCCCTCCTCCCTTCAGGCCGCCTCCTGCGCCGAGGGGTCTTCGACTGGACCAACGATCGTAGGCCCAAACGCGGGGGATATACGATGAGGGGAGCGGTCCTCCTCCCTTCAGGCCGCCTCCTGCGCCGAGGGGTCTTCGATTGGACCAACGATTGTGGGCCCAAAAACGAGGGATATACGATGGGGGGAGCGGTCCTCCTCCCCTAAGGCCGTCTCCTGTGCCGAGGGGTCTTCGACTGGACCAACGATCCTTGGCCCAAACGCGGGGGATATACGATGGGGGAAGCGGTCCTCCTCCCTTCTGGCCGCCTCCTGCGCCGAGGGGTCTTCGATTGGACCAGAGATTGTGGGCCCAAACGCGGGGGATATACGATGGGGGGGCCTTCCTCTTTCAGGGCGGGCCGCCTCCTTCGCCAAAGCGCCTTCGGCTGGGCCAGAGACTGTGGGCCGAGCGCTTGGATATACGATGGGGGTAGGCATGCACTCTGGATAAGGAACCGCGTCCAGGTAGTCCCCCTGAAGGCGTATCCCTAAAAGGGGACTCCACTAACGGGTACGTTGGCCAGTGACCCGGCGAACCCCACCATCCCCGATTCGAGCAACGCACTGCAGTGCCAGAACGAGGCCTTCAAATGGCAACCCTCGGCAACTTTCCTAAGAATACCCATCAAGGAGTACCCGTTACGATGCCGCTGAATTCCCGACGTCCCCCCTCTTTTCGGAGAATTGCAAGAAGAAGCGAACCACGCTTTCCTACAAGTGGGTCGGCCACGACTACAAGACCGACGCCTACATCGCCATTGCCTGTATCGCCGTTGGCGCGTACACGGTGGAAGCACGATGGGGTAGGCGCACATTCTCGAGAAAGAGGGGCGCGCCCAGGCAGCCCCCTTGAAGCCGCAATCCCCGACGTTCCCCTCCCTCTGGAGCGACCCGACTTCTCGGGGGCAACATGGGGACTGGGGGCGACAACAACAAATCGCCTGGGGCTCCTGGCCCCCCCCCAACCCCCGGCGGCCTGCGACCGCCGGCAGATCGAGCCTGCATCGGCCATACACATCGCCGAGACATCGGCGATAGGCCCTCGATAGCGAATCCTCATGGAACGCACAGGGACACACAGTTAGCACTTGTATTTGTATAGATAAATCCGCCGATCCGGCATGTGAGCTTAAGGAAGCTACAACCTGAGCTTCAACTCTGCGGCGGGGGGGGCCGGGGGGGCTCTGCCGGGGGAAGGGGGGGAAGGGGTCCACCTTTTCTTCCCCCCCCCCTCCCGGGAATCCCAAACCGCCCCAAGATAGGCCAAGAGGGTCCCAGGAGGCCACCAAGACGGTCCAGGAGGCGCCCGAAACGGCCCAAGAGCGCTCCTGGACGCCCAAGATGGCCTGAAGACGGCCCAAGAGGCCCCAAGAGGACCCCCAAGAGGGCCTCAAGAGGGTGCAATAAGAAAGTTGCTCATAGGTTTTGAAGCATTTGTCCCTACCTAAGCTCTGCCTAGAAGGGTTCTTACTCGCTAAGCTTAAAGGGCCGGGCAATGCAAAACGCCCCGGGCGGTTCCCCCGGCATCTACCCCGCGGTTCCTCCAGTGACGCTCCATTAGCTGAGCGCTGCTGATCTCATCTTAGCTTAGCGTATTTCATCTCAGCTTAGCTTAGCTTCATCTTACCTCAGGTTTATCTTACCTGAGCTTACCTTCATCTTAGCTTCGCTGAGCTTTATCATAGCAGAGAACAGCATAGCATAGCAGAGCGTAGCACAGCACAGCGCAGCACAGCAACGCCCCGGGCGGTTCCCCCGGCATCCGCCCCGCGGTTCCCCCAGTGACGTTCCCTTAGCTTAGCGTTGCTTATCTCATTCCCTACCTAGGCTCTGCCTAGAAGGGTTCTGACTCGCTAAGCTTAAAGGGCCGGGCAGTGCAAAACGCCCCGGGCGGTTCCCCCGGCATCCGCCCCGTGGTTCCCCCAGTGACGCTCCATTAGCTCAGCGTTGCTGATCTCATCTTGGCTTAGCGTATTTCATCTTAGCTTAGCTTAGCTTCATCTTACCTCAGGTTATCTTACCTTACCTTACCTTCATCTTTGCTTCACTGAGCTTTAGCATAGCAGAGCACAGCATAGCATAGCGTAGCACAGCACAGCATATCATAGCAAAGCCCAGCAAAGCACAGCATAGCGCAGCATAGCATAGCATAGCATAGCACAGCATAGTATAGCGCAGCACATCACAGCACAGCATAGCACCGCGCAGCACAGCAGAGCAGAGCATAGCACAGCAGCAAAGCAAAGGCAAAGCAACAGCAGCGACAGTAAAGCAACGCAAGGCAAAGCAAAAGCAAAAGCAAAGCAAAGGAAAGGCAAAAGAAACGCAATGCGCGACAGATGCCGAGCTGGCCTCGATGGCTGGACCGGAGCCCCCGCAAGCAGTGCCATCCGTAACCATTTCGGCTCAAGTCCAGAGGCCCCTGCCACACAGCCGCCCACGCTCATGTCCCGAGGTTGGCGGAGTGAGGCGTTCCGCGGTGCTGCAGAGCCCGCCTAGGTGCAGATGTTGATGAAGACGTAGGTGTATATGTAGGTGTAGATTCAGATGTAGATGTGAGTTTCGCTGTTGATGTTGATGTGGATGTAGATGCAGGTGTAGATGTTGATGTAGCTTTCGGTTTAGCTATAGATGTTGCTTTCCTAGATCCTCCAACTCCTTGGTAGGGTCGCACTGGGATAATTACATTATCGCCTTTTCCGACTTAGAAGCGCCGAAGACGGCCCAAGATGCCCCCAAGATCGCCCCAAGACAGCCCAAGAGGCCCCCAAGAGGAGCCAAGACGGTCCAAGAGGGTCCCAATATAGTCCTGGAGGCCCCCCAAGACGACCCCGAGAGGCCCCCAAGATGGCCTCAAGAGGGTGAATCCGAACGGACCCGTCTAGTCGTCCTCCACCCCAAGATGACCCCAAGAGCCCCCAAGATGCCCCCGAGGCGCCCCCAAGGGGCCCCCAGAGGCCCACAAGAGGTCCCCAAGAGGCCCCCAAGAGGACCCCGAGAGGCCCCCAAGAGGCCCCAAAGGCCCCCAAGAAGCCCCAAGAACCAAGAGGCCCAAAGAGGCGCTCACTCGCGTGCTGCCAGGCCAGAGGTGCACGGCCTGACTTGGTATTGCTCGGAAGCGAAAACGATGAACGAAGAACCTTCCACCGGTCGCCGTCACCTGTCGTCGGTCGTCGGCCATCGGCAGCCGTTCGCCGTCAGTCGTCGTCGTCGGTTCGTCGTCATTCACTCCTTCGTCGGTCGTCGTCGTAATTATCCCGCTCGTCGACCGTTGGTCGTCCGTTGTCGTCGTCATCGTTCATTTCAACAACAATAGCATCAGGAGCGCCCCGGATCGGCGGCACTGGCCGGAGGCCACTACAATATATATATATATATATATATATATATATATATATATGTGTGTGTATGTGTGTGTTTGTATGGGCAATTTCGGAGACCCGGGACACAAAAACGTGTTCATCTCTTGGGAGGTCGACTTTGTACTTCCGCCGCCTTCCGCCGAACTTCCGCCGTCTTCCGCCGGCGGAGGCGACCTTGTTTTGCTTCCGCCGACCTTCCGCCGCCCTTCCGCCACCTTCCGCCTAGCAAGACATGACAACTCCTTCGATCCTCGAAGGCACGGCCCTTCTTGGAACGCCTCATACATCCTCCTTAGAGGTGCGCGTCCGACCCGAACATATAGTACACCCATCTTCCAGCAAGTCGTTTCCCGAGCGGTGTGGTCCGAAAGCGCCCGCCACGACGCGTATGCTCTAAGATTTCTGGGCGCGCGCGTCGCCCCTGGGGGGGCGACGCACCCATAGTGATTAGTACGTTGGGGCGACGCCGACATCACGCTCCCGGGCAGGGTGGGCCTGTGAGAGCCCTATCGGCGATGGGCGACTGGGGATCGATGCTATCCCAGGCGCGCCTCATCACGACGCAGGAGGAGGATTGGGCGGTGGAAGGCCATGTCAGCACTTTTCGAGCGAGGCGCGGCCAGCGAAAGTGGCCAAGGATGGGCCGAAAGGGGGAAAGAGGCAAGGGTAACTAACCTTAGGCAGTCGCTCGTCCTTACTGTCCGTGCTGACTGCATCCCCCCCTTATCTCACCCCCCCATCTCGGAGTCCACCAAAGGGGGGGGGACCCCGAGAGGGGGGGCATGGGCTGGATCTGCTGGTGCACCGACCTGCCGCAAGCAGATGCCCCCCCCGCATGCCTCGCCCATCGGCAGCTATCGTGAGCTGCCGGCGGCCGGGGGGCGTCTGTTTACCCAAACCCCCAACGTCGCGACTTTTTCACAACGTCGACCCCCAGAGGTCTGGACCCTTTCCCTAAGACAGGCTTTTCATCCGGAGTCGTTTTTTGACGGTCCCGAAGCCCAGTGAGGGCCCCCAGAGGCCGAAAATAGCGAAAAACCATTCGTCGTGTTCCCCCCCGCTTTGCTGCAGGCCTCCTGGATGGGGTCGGAGTAGATGGGGTCGAAAGATCGCGCCGCATCGCCGATACATCGCCGATGCATCGTCGATGCATCGGCGACGTCGGCGATGCATCGGCGTCGCCAGCGTGGAGAAATTCGGGCTCCACATCGAGCCGCATCGCCGATGCATCGGCGATGCGGCGTGATCCTCCGGCCCCATCTACTGGGGGCCCATCTGGGAGGCCTAGATTTGCGGGATGCCGACCTCCGTCGCGCCCATGATGGCTGACTCATGGACGGGTGGCCATGATGCCCGCTTCCGCTTCATGTATCGCGCGACGTTCAGATTTCCAACCTTCATCCACAATGTTGACACGGCTGGAGGGAGTTCAAACACGAAGGCGCCCAAGGGTGTCGTGGGGCCAGGAAATCAAGGCGCATGCACTGAGCGCCGCGCAACAGGACGAGACGAGGACCGGCTAGCAACAGCGCTGTCGTATTGTAGCGGCTGATTCCAGAACTGGAAGGCCACTGTCCGGCAGCACTGCCGTTCTCTTTCATAGGGGCTTGCCTTCTTACAGTTGCCCCCCCTTCGGTCCCCCTCCGCCCCTTCCCGCGTGAGCTAAGCAGGCGAGCCACTACGGAGCTGCGTGTACGTTTCACACACCCTTTGCACTGCAGCCGATGTGCCGTCATGACAAGGCTTCTACGTTCTCTACGTTCGTTCGACCTGCGTCGCGCCCCGGATCCTGGCCCCCCGCGGCCCGCCCCCGCGGGTCGAGCCAGTCCACGACGGCAGCGAGGCAGGCCGCGGCGGCCAGGACCACCGCCAGGCCGCGGAGCCGCGCCATGTGCCCGGGGGCCCCGCCGCGGCGGGACAGCTGCCTGGCAGGAGCGAGGACACCCAGACATGATCGCGTCGTAAAAAGATCAGGACGAGACGTTTTTGGCAATTTTCGGCCCCGGGGAAGCCCTCGCCAGGCCTTGGGACCGTCTAACAACAACTCACGACGAAAAAGCGGTCCAGAGAAAAAGGGTCGGGACTTCCAGGGACGCCGTCCTGAAAGAACCAGGACGTCGCATGTCTGAGAAAGCGACACCAGCACCACCAGGGCGAGGAGATGCGAGGAGGCAAGGGGGTCCGCCCTGGTGGTGTGGCCCCCCCCTCTCGCTCGACGCGGCCCCAGCCTCCAGCTCGGGGGAGGCACCGTGGACCTCCTCGGCGGAGGTGGGCCCCCTTGGCGGCGTTGGCATCGCTCCTCCTCCCTCCGAGCCCGGGTCGCGGAGCCGGCGGAGCCGGGGCCGCGGGGGCCGGAAGGGCTGGAGCCGGAGCAGCAGCAGGAGCAGCGACATAGCAACGAGTCGCACGCGACCCAGATCCCCTCGCGCGGTGACGAGAACCACGGCGGGAGGCTCGTGGCTGTGTTTGGCCTCTCGTGGCCCTTATACCGGACCTCGGGGTCGTCAACAAAACGGCTCCGGAGGAGAAGCAGGTGCCAGAGAAGAAATAGGAAGCAACTCCTGGGAGGTTGTCGTCGGAAAAATGAAGGAGGGTTATGAGCCCCATTTGGGAGCTGCTACGCCAGAAAAGGGCCGCGGACCAAGCAGGATTAAGCCGGATGAAGCGGGATCTTAAGCGGGGGTCGACGCTGTGACAAGGGTCACGACGACCTTCGGGCCCGGGAAGATGGCACGGCGACCTTCGGGCCGCGGCTGAGGCAGGCCGCCAGCCCGGCACGCTGCGCCGGGAGCGCGGGCGCGGACGCGCGAGCTTGCGCGCCGATGACGGCGAAGGCCGCCCCACTGATCTGCGTCGGTCGCATGGCAGCAGGGCTCGATCTAGACGGTGCTTCCCGTGCTCGTTGTGTGTTCGCTTTCCCTCGTTCTGCCTTCGTTCCGCCTCTGCTGCAGAACAGCAATCAAGAGGAAAACGGTCCACAAGATCACGAAACCACAGTTTAGCTCGAGCCCTGAGTGGCAACGTTTGCCCTCTCCCCTGCGCCTACCAGATGGACGAGTCTGACGCGCGGGAGGCAGAGGGAGGCAGAGGCGTCAGCAGTGAAAGGTCCCCCTCGCGCCTGGCCGCGTCGAATACCTCTGGTTTTTGTCGTTGGCACACGCTCCAATTCGATCAGAACCACGCTCTGTACAATATGCGCTGGCAGTGTCAAGGATACCTCCCCTGTGAGAGATCCCTCAATGCATCCGCCAACGTCGATGGGTAACCACGCTGCGTGCAACTGCTGAACGTGTCAAGGGAATCTCCCGCGTGAGAAGTGAATGCGCGCTGCCCAGGCGATGCTCTGCTTAACATGTTACGGGCTCAGCGGAGATGCCAATTAACGATGGCTGCGTTCGTTTGCCATTTGAGCATCTCCTGCTGATGGTACAGTTGCTTACGCCGTTCAGAGTCAGCCCGCATGCGATCGCCAACGTCCCGTTGCTCCTGGAGGAAGGCTTCTTTTCGAGCTCGCTCCTGCCTGAACCTGTTGTTCTCATTCTCGACAATCTCATGGCCTCTCCGCTCGAAGTACGAGACTTGCTCTTGGTTGCATGCTTCACGTGCTTCCTGCAAACGCATGTTGTTCTCCTCAATCAAACGGTCGAACTCACTAGTGGAAGCCAAGCAGGGGACGCCGAGCAAAAGCAAGCAAAGCATGCGCAAGCTGCCGGGAGGGCCCACCATTGCACACACTGGAACCTGCGTTTGAGCCAAACTGCGTGTGAGCCAAACTGGAACCAAACTGGCTTGAGCCACGCGGTAACGAACAACTGGCCACGGCCCTCTTATGGCAAGTTTGGATGCCCCTTGGGGACCTCGTGGAAATCTTTGACCATCCTCTTGGGGGCATTGATTGGCCTGTGAATGCCTGCTGTACTTGGCGGCTCTTGGAAGTCACTGGGGGCCCATCTTGCTGCAAGGGGGGGGGGGGGGAAACGATCGGCCGAGGCAGTGCGACGTCTCGCCGAGGGGGGGGCACTCCTCCTGGCGACCTTCGGAACACTGCCCCCAAGCAATCTCCGACCCCCGCCCGCTGGGGACACGAACCTCTCCTCCGCCGCCTCCTCTCGCCGCACGTGGCCGCGCCATCCACGCGCGGAGTGGTGGGCGGTGCCGCCCTGCGAGGCGTCAGACACGGGCGCGCGGAGTGGAAGCGTCGCCACGACGATTGGCGACGACGAGGACGCCGTCGACGACCCCCTTCCGACGGGCCAAGCCAGCGCAGGAGTAAGGTCGACTGCGCACTGCCGCCGAACCTCCACGGCGGAACGTGGAGAAGCACCGTCGAGGATGGATGTTTGCGGACCGAGGCACTTGGAGGCCTCCCAGAACCTCTACCTCCTCCTCCTCCTCATCATCATCCTCCTGCCTCCTGCTCCTCCTCTTCCTGCCTCCTCCTCCTCCTCCTGCTCCTCCTTCTCCCCCTCCTCCTGCCTCCTCCTCCTCCTGCCTTCTCCTCCTTCTCCTGCCTCCTCCTCCTCTGCCTCTTCCTCCTCCTGTTCCTGCTCCTCCTCCTCTTCCTCCTCCTCCTTCTCCTCCTCCACCTCATCCTACCCGTCCTCCTCCGCCTCCTCCTCCTCCTGCATCCTCCTCCTGCCTCCTCCTCCTCCTCTTCTTCGTTCGGGGACTGGTAGCGGAGAGAATCGAATCTTGAAACGTAGCCGCGTCAACGGCGGTCACCAAAGGAATTACCCAGACAGCTGCTCCAGGGTGCCGTGGATCGGCCGGTCGGCCTGCCTCGCAGGGCATCTGCCCAGGGGACCTTCGGTGCAATGGCCAGGCACAAGCGCTGCCTTGCGCATCGCCTCGAGAACTCCAGTCGGAACGCAGGGGAGGGCAGAAGCCTCGGCTCCAGGTTCCTCCTCCTCCTCCTCCTCCTCCGCCTCCTCCTGCATCCTCCTCCTGCCTCCTGCCTCCTCCTCCTGCCTCCTCCTCCTCCTCCTCCTCCTCCTCCTCCTCCTCCTGCTGGCTCCAAGTTCCGAGGGCGGGAGACATGCGACCTCGGCGACGTACAACGTGGCGGCCTTTTTGTCCTGGGTGGGGGGGGCCTCTCGCGGGCCCACGGGTCGGCCTGTCAGAGCCACTCCGTGGTGCCAACAAAAATCCTCTCCGAGGGGTCTCCCCTAGGGTCTGTGCCTGGCCACAGATACCTTACAGAACCTTGCACTCCCCTTTCTCGTCAATGTTGGCGGCGCGCAGAATGAGGTAGGGGGAAGGGGGACGGCTTCTTAGAAGGGGGCTGCTTCTTACAAGGCGCCGACCTTACATGTCTAGAGGAGGCCCACGCCTTCCAAGAAACAGAGGTGTTCCTGATTAGTCTCCCCCCCCTCCGCCTCCCCCCCCCTTCTGCGCGTGGCCGACACTGGCGTGCGATCCTCCTGCTGCTGTTGCTTGTCCTCCTCGCCTCTCCCTCCCCCTCCTCTTTCTTTCGGCGGCTCCAAAAGGTGTGGTTTGCAGAGGGTGCGGTTTGCAACTGGCACCCTGGGGGGCACCCTGAGGGGCAAGCGGGGGCCTCGAGGGAGCTCTCCGCCGCGCCCCACAGAGGCCCGGCGAGAGGACAGTGTCGGGCCCCCCAAGCCCCCACGGCGCCGCGGTCGCAAACCACACCCTGGCGCACCCGCACCCTTTTGTCATCGCCGACTCTCTTCGCCCGCCTCCTCGCGCCTCCCTCTGCGTGGCCTTCCGGGTGAAGGCCGCGGGGGGCCGGTTGTGTCGCCTTCGTCGCCCCCCCCCGCCGTGTGTGCTGCTCCACCTCCTCCTCCTCCTCCTCCTCCTCCTCCTCCTCCTCCTCCTCCTCCTCCTCCCTCCTCGTCCTCCTCCTCCTCCTCCTCCTCCGGGGGGGCGGCGACCCAGGCGTAGTGGGGCCGCAGCGGCGGCGGTCCTGCCGGGGGGATGGGCGGGGCCCACGTATAGAGCGGCGGCCGGGCAGCCCGCGGAAAGGGAGGGCGGCGAGGAGGCCAGGATTATGTCGGGCGTGAGCCCAACGCCTGGGCCTGCGCGGGGCCCGCTTCCCCGTCCCGGCACGGCGGGGAGAGGGAGGAGGACGAGGCACGGGAGGATCCGACGCTGGGGTACGAGGGGGCGTCGAGACAGCGCCGCGCACCGGCGAATGGCGAACGAGGCTCGAGCAGCCTGGGCAGCGTGCGGGCCGGCACGGCACGGCACGCGGCAGCGGACCAGCACGGCGGCTGCCCCCCCCACCTCGCCGAGCTCGGCCTCGGCCGAAGGGCGGGGGAAGGGCGGCACCTGTCCTGCCGGGGCGGGGCCCACTGCGGGCAATGTCTTTATCCACATCCAGTGCGTCTCTCGGGGACGGACAGGCCCCCCCTTTAGCAAAACGTGGTTTAGTGAAAACGACCTGAGGCCCAAACCTGGCGGGCGCAAGCATGGAAAATGACGGCCACGGCGCCCTCTCGAGAACCGAAAACGGACAATTCGCTAATCGACGTGTCACTGTTGGGGGCTCTGTCCAGCCCCGAGTCTTGGAGTTTCGGACACCCTTCCCAAGAAACATGGGGCGCACTGGATATGGATCATGACCTGCCTCCCAAAGGCTCAATGTTTATCCATATCCAGGGCGCCTCGGCCTTGCGGCGCCCCTTCCAAGAAAGTCCAAGACGCACTGGATATGGATATAGATATTGCCCGCACCCACGCGTCTGGTCGTGCAGGGAAGGGGGCTCGGCCTGGACAAGCGGCACTGCACCGGCCATGCAGGCGCGCTGCAGCGGACTGCCGCGCGGAGTTCCGCCAACACAGAGCCCCGAAACGGCGAGCGACAGACGACGTGAATGTCACGTGGATTTGTTCTAGTCTTCATTCTTGGCCAAACAAATCCGCGCGAAATTCACATCGACATCCGGAACGAAATTCTCCAGGACAATGCGGGCCCATCCCAATGTTTTCCAGACGAAATCCGCTCTGCGAAGTTGGCGCCATGACAAGCGGGAGCTTGGGGGGTGCTTCGCCGACAGATGTCTCTCGAAGTCTGAGCCACACCCTTGCTCTGAGGGCCAGTCAACAAAAATCCTTCGACCGCTTCCTGACCTGGCCGCCAGTGGTGTTCGCACATACTGCAGTCGAATACAAGAATGCCATCGGCGTGCGGGAAAGAACAGCCCGCTTGTGATTACGGAGAGCGATAGCGGGACCCCTCTCTGGCGGGGAGCCCGCGCAGCCGCTCCTGGGAGTATCCTGCTCCTTCCTGCTGGTCGGCGGGCAAGCTTGACACCTCCAAGAACTGCGGCATCATGTCCGCTCGTGCCTGGGCCCCTGAGGCTTGGGCGCTCTGCCAGCGCCAGACACACGCGAGACCTTCGTCCAAATTCAAGCGGGGCCGCTCGGGGAGCGCAAGGGCAGCAAGATGGATGACAGCCCGAGCGACCTTGATGTGCTCTGGTATTAAGTCGGACGTGGCCTGGCTAGGCGCAGGGTGGATGAGGCCCCCCTCTTCGCCCCCCGGTTCAGCTTCATCATGTCGGAGATTCTAGAATCTCTCAACTCCTACAAGTCCCTCGTCCGAGACATGGGCTTTCACCTTCTGGACTCGGGTGTACTTAGGGTTGGGTTGAGCAGTGTGCCAGCGCGATGCCTCTTGTGGCTGAGCTGGACAGAGGCATGAGAGCTGAAACTGTGAACTGCATCCTTGACTTGACAGCCAGCATGCCCCAAACCAGGAGCGCAAGCAGAGCGCCCTGGTGGCCCCGCGCCCACGCAGTTCACAGGCCTGGCAGCCCGGGGGGGGGGGCCACCGAGGAGCAGGCCCCTCAAGAGTGCACCACGAGGGCGTCCGACTCATCGGCATGCACACGAGGCCCCTCCAGCCAATACGACATGACTCGGGAATGGAACTTTTCAGCCCCGAGCCGTCGGAGAACGCGCGGCCCCTTAATCAGGCCGTGGCCTCAGAGCTGTGATAATTCACCCACCCGCCAACTATGCCACCTTCCTGAACAGGGGGGTGTGGGGGGCCCTAACGAGGTCGGGTCGGGCGGGCGGACCCCAACGGGCGTGCGTGTCGGGTCGGGCGGGCGGGGCATTGACATATGATGCATCATGGACTTGGCGCACGACTACCCTAACAGGCGGGAGGGGATGACGGGCGGGCGGACCCTGACGGGCGGGACGGGTTGGGTCGGGCGGGCGGACCCTAATGGGCGGGTCGGGTCGGGTCGGGCGGGCGGGGCGTTAAAGTATAATGCATCATAGACTTGGCACGCGAGTACCCTAACGGGCGGGAGTGGCCGAGCGGGCGGGCGGACCCTACCGGACGGGACGTGTCGAGTCGGGCGGGCGGACCCCAACGGGCGGGTCGGGTCGGGTCAGGCGGGCGGGACATTGAAATACGATGCGTCATAGAATTGGCACGCGAGTACCCTGACAGGCGGGACGGGTCGGGCGGACCCGAACGGGCGGGACGGGTCGAGTCGGGCGGGCGGGTTGGGTCGGGCGGGCGGGACATGAAAATATCGCGCATCGTCGACTTGGCACGCGACCACCCTAACGGGCGGGTCCGGCCGGGCGGGCGGGCGGGTGCCAGAGCACCCGGCTCGAGTGCCTGGCCCAGAGCACTGCGAGTACCGGGAGTGCCTGGAGTGTCTGGAGCGCCAATGGACCGATCGGGTCCTGTGGAACCGGTCCTGCGGCACCTGGCCATGTGGAACTGGTCCTGCGGAACAGGGCCTGTGGAACCAATTCTATGACACCAAGTCTACAAAACTGATCCTATTGAACCAGACTTCATTGAACCCGGTTTTGCTGAACCGGTCGTCTGTTGAACCGGCGTCTGTCGAACTGGTCGTCTGTTGAACCGGTCCCTGTTGAACCGGTCGTCTATTGAACCGGACCTCTGCCGTTGAAAGAGCAGGGCACAATCCGTGAAGTACAACATTGGTCCTGCAATCTGCTGCAGCGCCAGCGAGACGGCACAGAGCTCGGCTCACGGGGACGGTTTGCATACGGCCCTCCAGGCCGAAGGCGCCACCAGCGAGCCTTCCGAGACCTTGTTCGGCACATCGCATCACGACTACGGCCACCCTAGCGCGTTTCTACGGACCTCCCGACCCGCCTGCAAAGACTACGAGCTTGGACTCGAAGGACCAGACCCTGGCCGTGAGTTCGGCCGAGAGCGGTCTCTCCTCGTCGTTCCCCCCCCCCACCGGCACAACCCGACCTACCCCGACTCCGACCGAACAGGTAGGAGAGGTGAGCATCGATGGAGGCACGCGCCTGAGCCGACGAGAGGGGAGCTGCTCGTGGCCCGCCAAGGCCGCAGGGAACAGAACATCGGAGCTCTCATGTGATGGGCCCCAACGGTTGCAGGGGCACTCCCGCACCCTCCGGAGCAACTCGGCAACACGAAGACCGCACCCTGGGCAACGACGGGCAGCATCATAGCCAGCATCGATATGCCGCTGCTGCGGCCACTGCCCTCCGGCTACAGTAGCCAGGAGCTGCCCGACCTCGACAAAGCACACTTTCGGACCCCTCGCAGAACCTCGGCCCGAACGGGGATCAGGTCCGCTCCCGTCGCTGAGAGCCGCCCCGTGGGGACTGGGTGGCCGCAGAAGCCCACGACCCGGACAGAAGATCCCTCCTCCCGTCGTCCAAAAGCTCAGACAATCACGCGCATCCTCAGCACGGGCTTCGGAGGGAGAGGGGTCGGGGAATCGCTGCGGGCCTCCGCCATTCCGCGGCGGAGGCGTGCAGGCATCCACTGTCCAGGAGGGTGCCCTGCGCAGCCCCACATGGGGCCTCGAACTCGCCTCCACCTGCCGCTGGGAGGGCACCCTGTCTTAGCACGGGCGCGGCTCCACGAGGACTCCATTCTGAAGGGGCCCCAGGACACACAAATAAATACACACAAATAAAACAATTCCCCATATGTTCCTATATTTTCTGGGTTTTTGTCTTCCCCACCACTTCCCATATTTTCCCACATTTTCTGGGGGATCGACGATTAATTGTGTCTGTGTGCATTCTCTCGGGCAATGATGGGGTGGAGGTCCACGCGTTCGCCACGCCTGCAACGGCTGCGTGCGGAGCGCAATAGCGGGATATCATGCCCCCGAGCCAAGCCGCAAGCGTGGACGCGCGGGAACCTTCCAAGACCGGTGCCGGCAACGGCGGACGCAACTCGGCGTCTCAGGGTGGTGATCGTGGAGAGGGGGAGTGCCCGTAACGGGGTGCCCCCGAGCCAAGCCGCAAGCGTGGACGCGAGGGAACCTTCCAGGACCGGTGCCAGCAACGGCGGACGCAACTCAGCGTCTCAGGGTGGTGATCGTGGAGGGGGAGTGCCCATAACGGGGTGCCCGCAGGACGACCGACGAAGGGCCATTGCACAACGCAAGCCCTTGCGCACAACAATCAAGGGGCCCAGGACACACAAATAAATACACAAATAAAAAGATCCCCCATATTTTCCCATATGTTCTGGGTTTTTGTATCCCCCCCACTTCCCATATTTTCCTATATTTTCCTGGGAATCGACGATTAATTGTGTCTGTGTGTTTCTTTTCCTCCTGAAACACACAGCGCGGCATACTGCCAAAGCCTGACAATGCGACCCGGACGACACGAAGGCGACCCGTGGCTCGTCTTTGCTTGAGCTTGCGGGCCGCTCTGCGAGCGCCGACAGTAGTGCCACGGCTGCCGTCCGCCCTCGTGAACAGCCCTTTGCTGGTCGGGAGACCGACCTCATTCACCACCACGCTCCAGGGCTCGGCCGAGCGACGGCCACCAGTTGGGCCCTAACCGTCTTGCTGGTGCCTTCCCTGCGGAAAACGGCGTCATCCACCAAAGTCCGAAGGCCGACAGGAGGGGCCTGCGGGGTGCACGAACGGTCGTGTGCCGCCCGTAAAGTGGGTCCCATGGCAGCTTTGACCATCTGGCCGCCATGACCCGAGCGGGGCACAGTCGAGCCTCCAGGTAAAACAAACTCGCTCACCACAGACCTGGATTTGAGGACCCTCGGGGCCAGGAAAAACTGGACCCCAAGGAGAGTCACAGTGGCAGAGAAACTCTTGGCCATCGACGCATCCAGACCAATTTCATCAGACTGTCGATGTCATACAGCTTCACTGGACCGAAGCAGACACGAACCCGAGCAAGGTCGCACTCTCGTCCACGACCGCTAGAACCATGGCGGCACGCAAAACAGACAATATGTTCACTGCCGTGTCCCAGAAGTGCTCGAGGAACTCTGAGCATGCATCACTGATGCTGGCGCGTGCACGCGACCAAATGCTGGCCGCTGCCGACAGAATGCCGAAGTCTCTGTCGCCGCCAACTGGCTTTAGGCATGGTGCAACGGATCGTGAGCAACAGCCCCCTCCTCCACGTGCCAGCGCGCTCGATGGAATTGAGCAGCTTAACAGCCCGCGAACGTTAAAACGACGCGAAGATCGGGACAAAATCGGATCGGGACAACTCGAAGTCTCTGAGAATCGGCGGGCTTCGAGGATGTAGTGGGCGCCGCGGCCGCTCCAGAGCGTTCCGGAACGCTCTGAGAGCGCTCCGGAACGCTCTGGAGCGATTTATCCCGATCCTAGCCCTGTTTATATATATATATACATGTATATATATATATATATATATATTGTTTTGTCCCGATCCTAGCCCTGTTTTGAACGTCCTGTCGAAGGCTGCCGCTGGATGCCCCTCGGGCCGAGCTGGCCGCGGCCCTGCGCCTCTGGAGCCTGGCAGCCGCCGGACGAGAGACCATCGCAGGACGAGGGGGAGAGGGGGGGATGCGGCGAGGAAGGAGGAGGGAGGGGCGAGGGGGAGAGGGGAGAGACGAGGAAGGAGAGGGGAGAGACGAGCCCATCGCAGGAAGAGGGGGAGAGGGGAGGAGGAGGGAGGGGCGAGGGGGGGATGCGGCGAGGAAGGAGAAGGGGGGAGAGGGGGGAGAGGGGGGGAGACGCCCAGGACTTAGCGGGCCCTGGAAACGACAGGGCCGTTTTTTTTTTTTACCGGTTCCGCTTTGCCGTTCTCTTACAGGTTCCGACGCCGTTTTCCTACCGGTTCCGTCGCCGTTTTTTGACCGGTTCCAGCTCCGGTTCCAATCCTATGGAGCCGTTTTTGTTGCCGTTTCCGGTCGCCGTTTTTTTGCCGTTTCCATGTTCAAGGGGCATTTTTTTGAAAAACTGTGAAAAAAACAGCCCTGCCGTTTCCGGGGCCCACAATGGTCCAGGAGCAGGAGGAGTGAGGAGGCGGCCGGCCCGACGGTCCCCCGCGGATCTGCACCGCCGGCAGCCCAGAACTCCGCGGGCCGCCCCTGCCAGCCCAGGGCCCGCCTGCGCGCCGCGCCCCGCGCTCGCGGAGACTCCTCCGATCTTGCCTGTCCCCCTCCTATGCTTCCCCTTCCTCCCCCCCTCCCCCTCCTCCTATCTTCCCGCCCCGCTTCTCCTGGGTATGCTCCTGCCCCTCTTCTCCTCCTGCCCCATATTTCTCCTATCCTGTCTCTCGTGCTCCTCCCCCTCCCCCGTTTCTCCCCCTGCCCCTTCCTCCTGCTCCCTCCCTCCTCCCTCCTCCCTCCTCCCTGCTCCCTCCTCCTCCTCCTCCCTCCTCCCTCTCCCTCCTCCCTCCTCCCTCCTCCCTCCTCCTCCTCCTCCTCCTCCTCCTCCTCCTCCTCCTCCTCCTCCTCCTCCTCCTCCTCCTCCTCCTCGTCTTCCTCCTCCTCCTCCTCCTCCTCCTCCTCCTCCTCCCTCTTCCTCCTCCTCCTCCCTCCTCCTCCTCCTCCTCCCTCCTCCTCCTCCTCCTCCTCCTCCTCCTCCTCCTCCTCTTCCTCCTCCTCCTCCTCCTCCCTCCCTCCTCGCCGTCGTCGTCCTCCTCGTCTTCTTCGTCCTCCCGTCCCCTCCTCCTCCTCCTCCTCCTCCTGCTCCTCCTCCTCCCCGTCCTCCTCCTCCTTCTCCTCCTCCTCCTCGTCCTCGTCGTCATCGTCGTCCTCGTCGTCGTCGTCCTCCTCCTCCTCCTCCTCCTCCTCCTCGTCGTCCGCCTCCTCCTCGTCGTCCTCGTCGTCCTCGTCGTCCTCCTCCTCCTCCTCGTCGTCCTCCTGGGACGCGTGTCCTTGAAAGACGAGCGCCCCATGGCTTTTCGTCCGCAGTCTCGATCCTCTGCAATTGACTTCTTCTGCTCGTCGGGGTTACGGCGGAAACGTCTGCCCAGCAAGCTGTCGGGTTGGGCGAAAGGGGGGGATAGCAAAGGGGGGGGTTGAGAATCAGCTCACGTAGCTGATTTTCCCGGCGCCTCCCGGCGCCGGAGGCGGCTATGTATCGAGGATGGGCCCCTCGGTGGGGCCGAAACCAGCTGCATGCAGCAAATTTCGTACGCCCCCTTTCCCAATCCCCCCCTTTCGTCCGGCCCGAACCTAGTCGGTCTCGCTCGACGTGCACGCCGTGGAAATCTGACTCCCAGAATAATCGGCGATTCCTCCAAAGATCCCCATTCGCAAAATGAACGCATATTTCCGGGAACCACCTGGTGCCCAACTTTGCAAGGAGCTTTAAGCTCTAGCGTTGTTGAGGCTTGAATGGGCTACGACCAAACAACATCTGATGTTAGACATCGCCCTGCGCCCGCGCAACTGTTGAAACATTCAAACACGCGTGGCGGGTTCCGGAAACCCTGAACCCAAACATGTTGCCATCTCGTTGGGGCGCACGCCTCATCTGGGACCAGTCGGGCTCGGCAGGATCCTGCAGGATCCTGCAGGCTCCTGCACTCAAGCCCGGGTCAGTGCGCCACTGGCTCTGCAGGATGCTGCACAATCCGGCGCTCCGACTGACCCCCGTTTGCATTCACCCCCGTCTCTGGAGCCCCGATCCTCACTTCGCCGGCATATCGCCGGCCTCCCGCCGGGGAGGAGGTCTTTGACTCCTTCGATCCCCCAGAGCCAGGCCCTGCCTGGAGCGCCCCACATCCTGCAAGGTGCCAGGACGGGAAGCCACGCGACGAGCATGGGCCCGGAGGGGGAACTCCGCCCAGGCTGCGGGGGCAGCCCGCGCGCCGGGCAGAGGGCCCCTCGGCACTGGCGCCTCCTCTGCGCAGGAGGGCCCGGGGAGCGCAGAACGAGGAACGAATGGGGGCTCTGACGCGTGTGGTCGTGCTGGTCTTCTCACCGACAGCTGTAGTCGCTGCCGTCCCGCAGGGACTGTCCAGCCACTCCTCATCCACGTCCTCCTCCTCCTCCTCCTCCTCCTGCTGCTGCTGCTGCTGCTCCTCCTCCTTCTCCTCCTTCTCCTCCTCCTCCTCCGCTTCCTCCTCCCCTCCTCCTCCTCCTCCTCCTCCTCCTCCTCCTCCTCCTCCTCCTCCTCTTCCTCCACGTCCTCCTCCCCCTCCTCCCCCTCCTCCCGTCCCCCCCTCCTCCTCCTCCTCCTCCTCCTCCTCCTCCTCCTCCTCCTCTCCTCCTCCCCTCCTCTTCCTCACGTCCCTCCTCCCCCCCTCCCCCTCCTCCTCCTCCTCCTCCTCCTCCTCCTCCTCCGCCTCCTCCTCCTCTTCCTCCTCCTCCTCCTCCTCCTCCTCCTGCTCCTGCTGCCCGTTCCCATCCTCCAACTCCACCTCCGACGGCGACGGCGAACCCTGGAAGGCCTCCGAGAGCCTCCGAAAACCCACAAAGACCTCCGAGGGCCACGGAGCACATCCAAGGGCAGCCGAAGAGCATGGAGGGCATCCGGCCATCTTCGAGCCATCGTCGGCGACGGCGTCGGCGGCGAGAGCCCCGGCCTGGCCGCAGCGGCCTGCGCACGGCGTGCCCAAGGAACGGGAAGATCAGGAACAGCAGCACCGCCCTGGCGCCCCACCCTCCCCCTCCCCCCTCCCCCTCCCCCCTCCCCCCCCTCCTCCCCCCTCCCCCCTCCTCCTCCCTCCCTCCTCCCTCCTCCTTGAGCACAGGGAGCCACCCTCATGCCTGCGTTGCATCAACCTCCCTCCTCCCTCCTCCCTCCTCCCTCCTCCCTCCTCCCCTCCTCCTCCTCCTCCTCCTCCTCCTCCTCCTCCTCCTCCTCCTCCTCCTCCTCCTCCTCCTCCTCCTCCTCCTCCTCCTCAGGAGGAAGCGGGACGGAGGTCTGGAGTCCGCTTCGCATGTCTGCTGCAGTTCTCGGCCCCGGGGGATCTGCCCGTAGCCACAGCTGGGTCCGCCTCGGACCAGCGTGCAGTGTTGGAGAGCTAGACCGGAGATCGTACTTCGAGGACCGAAGTCCGAGATGTTTGCCATGCTTGGCTCGTCTCGGGCCTCCAGGGGCTCCCGAATCCAGCTAGCCAGACCTCTGCCGCACAGAGAGAAATCGCACTGGAGAAGCTTCGACAATTTCGGGCATTCAAGATACGATCTAGGATGCGAAACAGGACCTGGCGACGGGCCCAGACATACCTCCGACACGATTGTCCCACTCGCGGCCCCACTGGTCTCGACCTCGTTCTCGAGGCTAGTTTCAAGCCCTGGATCCATGTTTGATTGTCTCAGGGCCGACTCAGAACACGTCCCCAGACATGCGACGTCCTGATTTCTTCAGGACAGCGTCCCTGGAAGTCCCGACCCTTTCCCCCGGCTTTTCGTCCTGACTCATTTCTTGAAGGCCTCGAGGCCCGGCGAGGGCCCCCCGGGGCCGAAAATAGCCAAAAACCTCCCGTCCTGATGTTTTTATGACGCGATCGTGTCTGGGTCCCCGAGGGTCGAAATTGGAGAAACAGCGCTGGTCGAAGACAGCATATCGTCGGATCTGGTGGGCTGGTGGCGCAGGGACACCACCGTCGAGGAAGACGCGCCGCCGGAAGCCCGAGGAGACCTTTGGACCGAGCTGCCCCGCGGGGGTGACCCTCAGAGACACCTGGCGGTCGGACTTCTTCGGCGTGCGGCCCCATAGAGGTCCCGACGCCTTCCGTGGATGTATATAGTTGATCCCAGACAGGATCGCGTCGAAACAAAAATCCCGACGCCTTCCCTGGAGGTATATAGTTGATCCCAGACAGGATCGCGTCGAAGCAAAAAAATTGGACGGGAGGTTCTTGGTCATCTCCGGCCCCGGGGGACCGTCGCCAGGCCTCAGGACGGTCAAAAAACGGCTCGGGACGAAAGACAGGTCCCGGGGGAAGGGTCGGGACTTCCAGGGGCGCCGCCCTGAAAAAAGGAAGACGTCACATGGCTGGGACGCCTTCCCCGGAGGCAGTTAATTTCTGGGAGAGGCTCGCAGCATGCGACAGAAGACGTCTGGTCGGCTGGGGGGCCCGGCGAATAGACGCCCTCCAGCTCCGCAGCCGGTGGTATGCTGGAGCATCTATCTATACGTCGCAATCCTTGGCCGAATACTGTGGCTATGCAGACCAAACTTGGGAAAGGCCGGCGGGTCTGGACTGGCTGGGGCCCCAGAAAATCGGGTAGGAGGGGGGGGGAAGTCAAATCCGCTCAAAATCACTCCGCAACCCTCCCAAGGTCCACCAAATAGAATTCATCAGCCCAGATCTGTTTTTCACAATCCCGGGGCCAGAAAACGGCCCCAAAAGACATAAAAAGTACCCTGTCGCGTACCGAATCCATTTGCATCCAGTGACAAGAGGAGCAGGCCCAAACTTGTCAGGACCATGGCGGTGCAAGCGTCGTTACATGTAGTGCAAGCTGCATGGGATGCGCCCACGTGGCGCGATTCACAGGACAACACCAGAAGGACGAGGAGCGAAGGCCCAGGCTTGAGGAGGACATGGGGGCGGGAACGAAGGGCAGGAAAAAGACGCACGGGGGAGCGACCCGGCAGCGCGGCAGCAGCAGAGGGAAAGTGGCAGAGGAGCAGAAAACTACCTCGGAAGTGACGGGAGGAGACCGAAGAGTGTTGCTCTTGTCGGTAGTACGCTAAAGATGCAGCGCTGCCTGCGCCATGTCGACGCGGCGCTCGTCAGACATATTCAACCTGCATGTAGTTTGTGCAAGAAGCGTGTGAGGCCTAGCTCGCCCGCCAGCTTCCCTGCTTCCTACCTGCACTTTTGAGTGAGGGAGCTAAACGTTCGAAGGCGCGCCGCCATGTCTGCGGGCGGCCCGCGACAGCGCCACGCTGGACCCCCCAGCAACCCTCGAAAGTGGCGACGGTTTCGCAAATCGAAACCCCACAGGGGTGACGAGGTCTAATCTTAGCATGCGTGGGACGTCACTCCGCTGGACCCCCCAGCAGCCCCCCAAAGTGGCGACGGTTTCGCATAACGCCTGGGTAGGATGTCACTCCGCTGGACCCCCCAGCAGCCCCCCAAAATGGCGACAGTTTCGCAAATCGCAGCCCCACAGGGATGGCGAGGTCTAATCTGAGTCTCCGTGGGACGTCACTCCGCTGGACCCCCCAGCAGCCCCCAAAAATGGCGACAGTTTCGCAAATCGCAGCCCCACAGGGATGGCGAGGTCTAATCTTAGCCTGCGTGGGACGTCACTCCGCTGGACCCCCCAGCAGCCCCCTAAAGTGGCGACAGTTTCGCAGATCGCAGCCCCCCAGGGATGGCCAAGTAGGAGGCAAGCTGGCACGTAGGAAGGAGAAGCATGAGAGAAGGGGAGAGGGGGCGGGAAGGAAGGAAGGCGGGAGGTGTGCGACCGCAATGCTCTACTCAAAACGAGAACCCAACGCAGGAGGGTTGGGAAAGAGGACCGAGGCAAGACGCAGGAGAGAGGAAACAGGAGGTGGGAAGGAGGGAGGCGGGAAGGAAGGAAGGTGCTCGACCGCGGTGCTCTGTTCGAAACGAGTGCCCAACGCAGGAGGGTTTGGACAAAAACGTCCCTAACCCAGAACCTCATGCTGGCTACAGAATTCGGCCTGACCTAAGGAACGATAAATGAGGAACGAAGCCCCTTATTGTTCCACATAAGTCTGCGAAATTCGAAGGAACGCGAGGGGGACTCGCCGCAAAAAAGTAGCGGAACGCATGCAAACCAAAAGAACGACCTGGCCTCTTTTGAAAAGTGAGTGTTCCTTATTCAAGCCGGACCCTGTAGGACCAGTGCCGGGCCACATCGGCCCCCCACAGGCGGCTCCGGTGTGCACCGAGCCCCCTCCAGCTCTCGTCCCCGAGCCACTCCTCGCACCCGGGGCCCCGCAGCGGCCCGAGGCCGACACGCCGAGGAAAGAACACGCCCAGGCTGCAAAGAAATTCTTGCATCGCCGGGCGTCTGGGGAGAGGGAAAGATTAAGGGCCGAAGAAGTATGTCGGGCGTGTCCCCCTTACACAGGGATTTTCGACGACAAATGAAAAATACCCCAAAACACTACACCAAAAAGATCAACAACTATTCAAAAAATAGTTCCCAGACTATTTTTGGATTATTTTCTGACTATTTTTCTTTATTTTTCGTCGAAAATCCCCCTGTAGGGGGAAAGGCCCGACTGAAACGAAGAACTGTATGACAGAAACTGCTCCGACGTCCTGGACGCCTGCCCCAAGTCGGCGGAGAGTCGATGCCCCGACGTGCCGCCGGAACTGGAGGCATGAGCTTGCCAGCCACCCCGAGGCAGGCGTCCTCGATGGCGGGGCAGGGAACTTTGCACCGTCTTTCCCCCCCCCCGAGGAGGAGAGAGGAGAGAAGAGGAGAGCAGGCAGGCGTGCGCCTGTCAGCGGGAGGCCAGGGCCGGCCGGACGAGGCCGACGGGAGAGGGCCGGCGGAGAGGGTCTGGGTTGGGAGGACGGCGTATATATATACATACAGTTAGATTGTATAATATATATATGTATATATATGCGTACATATGTATATATGTGTAAATACCATATATACAATTATACATATATATATATACATTTATATATATTTATATACTTACATTTACATAAGCTTGCAATATATGTATAGAAATACAGACATACATACATACATACATATACACATATATTCATATATTAATATATGTATGTATGTACATACGTACATACATACATACATACATACATACATACATAAGAATATATGTGAATATGTACATATATGTACATATACACATCTATTCATATATACACATATATTCATTTAGGAGAAAAAAGGGGACAGGAGCAGCGGAGAGGGGCGATGGAGGCGAAGGCTGCTCGAGGGCCGAAGCTCTCGGACGCGTCTTGGGTCTTGGGGCTTCCCAGGAGCTCGGGCGCACCCTTCCCTGACCCCCTCGAATCACGACAACAATCACGGCAAGAAATTTGTCGCTGTTTTCGGCCTTCGGGGGGCCATACTGGGCCTCGGGACCGTCAAACAACGACTTGGCGGTGCAGAGGGGGGAAGGAGGGGAAGGTTTCTCAGAAGAAGGCTGCTTCTTATAACGCGTTGGCCCTACATCTATAGCACGTCGGGCCCGCGCCTTCTCAGAGGCAGCATCAGCATCCTGCTAAGAAGCCCCTCCCCCGCCCCCTAGCCCCCTTTGCGCTCGGCCGAACTACTCAGGATGAAAAGCCAGTTTCGAGTTACAGGTCGAGACCTCAGAGGGATCAACGTCATGAACAATATATGACGTCGGAGGTGTGGAACACGCGCGCGCGCACGGTGAGCACAGGCGCAGCGCAACGCGTGACAAGTACGTCGCGCGCGCCACGCGCGATGGGGGCAGGGCGTGAAAGTCGGAGACGTCTCCCCCAGAGCCCTCCAGCGCTGGGACCTGTAGGGATCATCGCTGCCATGTTCCTCCTCGGTGACTCGGTAATGCGGACAATTTCGATCGATCGCCTGGATGCCCTCGATGCCCTCTCCCAGCTGGAGTTGGGGGAGGGCAGGAAACAACCAAGAAGGAAAGAGAGGGGGGAAGCACGGAATACGGATGGTCACGGCAGCCTCATCGCGTTTCCTCCCGTGCGCCGGGCCCCACCAATTCCTCTGATCTCTCCCTCTCTCTCTCTCTCTCCCTGTCTCTCTCTCTCCCTCTCTCTCTCTCTCGTTCTCTCTCTCTCTCTCTCTCTCTCTCTCTCTTTCTTTTCTATATATTTCATATATATATATATATATATATATATATATATGTATTCCTGCGTTCCCTGCCGCTCCCTTCGGAGCTTCCAGCGGGAGGGCCGCTGCACAGGCCACTGCGCGTCTGGGGCTGCGTTGCTAACATCGCACTGAAGGACCACGCCCCATCAATAAATTCGAGCAACCAGGCAAATGTCGAGACATTGTCGAACGAGTATCGCCTCCCAGCGCCCGACGCGTGAACCCCCCCCGAGTTTCGGTACTCTTTTGGCGTTCGATATCCTGTCTGGTGATCAAGGATAGGACAGGTTGGAACACCAGAAGTCTGGGGTGAGTTCCGGCGGGCCTTTCCAGCGCAGCGGTGACACGCGCACACCCTGTGCGGTCATGCCGCCTGCCGGCGCTGCCACGCGCGCAGCTGTCGTCTCTGCCCTGCGCCCTGGGGGACAGGGCCGCGGAGCGAGAGAACGAACGGCATAGAATAATAAATAATACCATAAACATAGACTTTTGGCGCTCCGCGCGGATTTCTTGGATCTGCGCTGGACTCCGGCGCCGCCGCGGGGGCCCAGCGCGGGTCCGAAAAATCCGCGCGGGGCCTCCGGATGTTGCGTTTGTGTCAAAGTTTGCTGCCTTGGGACAACGGGTGCGGGAGGAATCCCATCGAAGAAGACCGACTTCGGGCGATAATGATGACATGATACGATTGGTTCGGGAGGCGTTCCAAGAAGTCCAGTCTAGCGGCGCATCTGGTGCGGAACGTCCGGAAACGTAGGGATCTGAGAGGAAACCTGGGACATCCTGGAGCGTGCCGCTGTCGTGACCTCGCGCGCATTTCACGACATCTCAACCTATAAACCTTGCACCCCTGCGGATGCTGAAGTACTTTGCTTTGAAAGACATGCGCCACATCAAGTGCAACCTGGGGGCTGGGGTGAACGGCGTGCTCGCGACCTGCGATGGCGTTCGTAAGAACCGGTTCGTCTCCACCATGCAGGTGGCCGCCTCGCTATCAGGCATGTACGAATCTCCTTTGTAATAGTCTATAATGAAGTGCGCTCTAGTCATTGCGCCCAATGAATTGGACAACTGGCCATCATGGTAGCGATCCTTGCTCAACTTCCCCCACACAGTGAGAGACTTCACTTCGCACCCCCTTCCCGTGGAGCGTAGGATAGCACTCGTCATGCCTGCTGGGACCAACGAGCGGTGAGATACACAATATTGTGAACTTTGCGCCACCAGGACAGGGCGCATATTCATCCAGTATTATTCTCCACGCCCGCGCGAAATCCCCCGATGGCAACAACCACATAATGCTTCCAACATAATACTGCTAAGGTCCTAGGTGCAGAGTGTGCAACTCATCGCATTCCAAGTTGTGTTGCGACATTAACGTGGACTCTGTGAACAACTCGTGAAAAATTCCGTTGCCAGATCTTGCCATTCCGCTGCCGTACACAACCTCCTCTTCCAAACTGCAGCTTGCTGAAAAGTTAGTCGGCCACGTCGCTTTCGGAGGCCCCCTTATCGCGCGGGCAGAACTCGCTCGTGTCAGATTTACTCTGCGAGTTCAGGCCAACCCTTTGGAATGTCAGTCCAAGTCTCCTCTGAGATACCAGATAACTCCAACAGATGGTTCGTCCTCCGAGCACGTCGGCCGCCCTGCAATTGCAGCCTCGCCAAAGAGATAATTGACTCCATTCGTCGCCGCGACGCTCGAGTGGAAACTTACCAGCGCGCAGCGCCGTCAATGACAGGCACCTATTGTTCCACATTGTCCCCGTCGTGTCCTGGACGCGATGCCGATGACTTTCTCGTTGTCGAAAGCCGATGACCCCTGGAATGCGATCTTCAACGTCTGCCCTCTAGCCAGCGACGCTTGAATCGATATGCACCCCAAGCTACCCGAGTCAACTTCCCCGCCCGAGCCACTGGCACGGCGTCGCGCACGGGGTGGCCCTGTATCCCCGGGCCCCGCCGACGAGCCGCCTCGTCCCAGAGAGCCTGACAGGTTCCGGCACTTCCGTCTGGCCCTGGAAACTTATCGTCGAACCGCCCCCGGTCACTTCTGCACAGGAACGACCATGTCCCGCGCGCACCCAGAACCGTTGCGACGCAAAGCGGGAATGTCGCTGGCGTCCCTCTACGCCCGGGACCTTGACGCCTGCTAGAAATGTTCGGGCGGGAGGGGCAGCGGCCTCGCCAATCCACCTTCGAAGCTCTCTTGCAGCATTGCCTTTGCATTGGCCCCGGCGCCCCCGCGAGGCAACATGTCCGATGGGGGACGGCGTGGCGTTCTCGACCTGCCCTGGTTGGTGGACCAAGTCTCTGGCAAAGGGCGGCCATGTCTTCGCACGATTGCCCCCGCCATGGATTGAACCTCATTTACGTGCAAATCCCCGGGCCCACTGTTCAACAATCTGTCTGGCCAGATCTGAATAAAAACGGGCAGCCGCGCACTGATGCGATGATGAGGGGGCGCCGATGCGCATTGCATAATGGGCCCGCGCTGCTGTTGCTGCTGTTTGCCGCCGCCATGCATGTTTCATCAAGTGAGACCGCAACGGGTAGATCACAAGTGTTCGGTAAGATACGTAGATGCACTTTGAGCCAAAACGGCTAGGCACACAAACAGGATTTAGGGGATTGTGCCTGCCTAAGAGGAGGGGGAGGGGAGATTGCATGCCCCCCCCTACCCACTTGGGTGCACTCCTAGATGGACTCCAAGACTGCAGGGATGATAATTGCTCCAAGATGGCAAACCGTGCCCAACGTGGACTCCAACGCGGCAACGATAGCCACCAAGAAACGGTCTAGATGGCTTCCAAAATGGTCAGGATGGCGCTATATGGCCTCCAATGCGATCCGTTATGCCCTCCTAGACGGCGAAGACGACGACCTAAGGTCCCAACATGAAGGCTAGACGGCGAAGATGTCCTAAGATCCACACATGAAGGCCGGAGAGGGCCCCAATATTGTGCCAGATGGCTTCGAGAGGCCGCCAGGATTGCCCCGGAGGCCCCCATCCTCCTTCTCTTCCTTCTCCTCTTACAGCAGAGCCACGCAAACGAATTGTCGCAGACGCGCGCCAAAATGTAGCACCAGGCTCCCCCCCCCCAAAAATACCCTGAGGGTGATGTTCCAAAACGCACTTTCTCATCCCCATATTCTCTTCCGACTCATTCAATGTCTCAGCCCGCGCGCGTGCCCCAAAGGGTTTCCGCGACGGCCGGCGGAACGCACTGCGCATTGACTTGAACAAGCGTTGGCCCGATGTTTAGCCGCGTAGGCGCGTCCAGGATGCAGGGGGCGGCGGTGTCGCCGTAGGCGTCGTCGACTAGGAGCACGGGCAGATGGAAAGCCACCACGAGACGAGGCGCAGCGGCCGCCGCCCTGCCCAATGACCAAGCCTATTCGAGAACCCCCACCCCCCTCCACCTCCGCATCCTTCTCTTCCTCCATATCCTCTTCCTCATCGTCATCGCCCTCGTCGCATTCGCCATCCCCCCCATTCTCTCCCCCCCTTCTCCTGGGCCCAGCCCCGGCGCGAGATGAAGTTTCTCGCGCCTCGCACCGCTTGCGCCGCCGCGCGGGAAGCTCCCGGAAGCGGCAGACACCGGGTTGCCACCGAAGCCCACAGTTCCATGAAATACGCCAAGCGAGAAAAACAGGGGAATCTCGCTGCGGAAGATAAGTGATCCGCAGCAACCGAACTCGCTTTATTTTTCCACGCGGAATGCCCCCGGGAAGCCACCCGAAAGGACCCCCGAAGGGGTCGCCAAAACTAGACGATTCAGCTGCAAGTTTCAACAACCCTCTGGATTTCGGCAGTCCGGAGGGCTGAGGAGGCTTTTCTAGTGTTTATTGCACATGGCTTGTATGCGCATCAGAAAATCATTCAAGAAACAACAAGTGCACGATCGTCGATGCAACGTTGGCACTATGTTCGAACAAACATAGGTCTGGCGCGATCAAGTCGTGGATCTCTCGAGGCGCGTTGCGTTTCCCGAAGAGAAAGACCATATTACAAATCTGATAGATTCCTGCGATGGTGCGATGGAGCAAGGTGCAAAACTGACGACGGTGCTGATATGGATGTTGTAGATTAGTTATAGGGATGTAGCAGATTTTGAAATGAAGCTTCACGCTGTCGATCTGATGTAGATCTCAAACTAAAAACGAAATAATCAACAAACCTACACCATCGGACATTACATACAAACTATTCCACGTGCGTCGTGTACCAAACCAAGACAACTGTGAATTGCACCAAGCCGAGTATGCAATCCGCGCATAAAGTGTTGGCGGGTGTGGGAAGCCCAGATAGAAGAACAAAACATGCACGGACGCAAAGTGTTGGAGGTCTGCGCGGATTCTGTGGATCCACGCTGGACACCCCCTCCCTGGAGTTAGGCTGGGCATGTCCCCCTACAGGGGAGTTTCGGGCGAAAAATTACAAATACCCCGACAACACCAAAAATCAAAAAAAAAAAAAAAAATCCTCTAAATAATTCCAGGACATTTTTTGTACTAGTTCTGCATCTTCCTCGTGTAGAGGGACAAGCCCTTTGTGGGCCCCAGAAACGGCAGGGCCGTTTTTTCACTGTTTCCCCCCCAAAAATGTCCCTTGAACATGGAAACGGCAAAAAACGGCGACCGGAAACGGCAAAAAAACGGCACCAGGATTGGAGCCGCAGCCGGAACCGGTCAAAAAACTGCGGCGGAACCGGTAACAAATCGGCGTCGGAGCCGGCGAAAAAACGGCAGAACGGAACCGGTAAAAAAACGGCCCTGTCGTTTCCGGGGCCCACTAAGGACAGGCCCGAACCCCCCCTGGAGCGCGGGGCGCGCCAGGGGGAGGCGCCGGAGGCGCCGGTGTGGGGGGAGCCCGCCGCCGACCCCGGGGGGGCAGCCGCGCGGCACTCCGAGAATGCATGCGTGCGCCGGGCCTCGCGCTTCGGCGGCGAGCGACGGAGGGGGGCAGCGCGGAGGAGAAGGCCCTCTCGGAAGGCCCGCCCCTATCGGGGAGGCCTCCTCTGGGACTCGGGAGCGGCCAAGAGGGGGGTGTCCAAGGGGGGGGGGGGCGCAAATCATGACCGGCGGCACGTGCGCGGCCCAGGGGGGGGGCCAGGGACGTAAGGAAACAAAAAGGGGCGCCATGAGATCTGGGGGAACATCATGGCCCACGCCATGATATCCACTCCCCCTAGTCATCACCCCTCTCTTTTCCGCCCCCGATTCACAAGCGTGGGGACGGTACCCCCCCGACAGGGGTCCACCTCGCCTCGTCGTCGCGCCGCAACGGGGGCCGGAGCTCTTTCCTTGCGGCGCGCGGTGGCTGCCCGCGACGGGGGTCGATGTGGGGCTGTCGGCGGGGGGGTAACGCCCCCTCTGACGCCTATGAAGGAACTCGGAGTAGAAGGTGCAGGTCCGGGGATGAGGGCCCCCGCCCCCTGCTGGGCCCCGCGAGCGCGGCTGCCAGCGCGGCCCATCGCCGCGACGCGGCCCGCGCCCCATTGCAGCGGCAGGGCCGCCCGGGCGCGCAGGCCTTCTCGAGGCCGCCCACGGGCTCCTGCCCTCCCCAAGAGGGAGCTCTGTTCGGCTCTCCTCTGGTCTTCTCCATGGCCGCCTCCTCCGCCTCCTCTTCCTCCTCCTCCTCCTCTTTTCTCTTCCTCTCTTCTCGTTCTCCTCTTCTTCTTCCTCCTCCTCCTGCTCCTCCTCCTCCCTCCTCCTCCTCCTCCTCCTCCTCCTCCTCCTCCTCCTCCTCCTCCTCCTCCTCCACCTCTCTCTCCTACTCTCTTCTCGTCCTCCCCGATCAAACCAGTTTCCCTGCTTTTCCTCCTCCTCCCCTCCCCCTCGTCCTCCTCCTCCTCCTCCTCCTCCTCCTCCTCCTCCTCCTCCTCCTCCTCCTCTTCCTTCCTTCTCCTCCTCCTCTTCCCCCTGCTCTTCCTCCTGCTCTTCTCCTCCTCCTCCTCCTCCTCCTTCTCCTCCTCCTCCTCCTCCTCCTCCTCCTCCTCCTCCCCTTCCCTTTCATATTCCCTCCACGTCCTCCTCCTCCTCCTCCTCGTCCTCCTCCTCCTCTTCCTCCTCCTCCTCCTTTTCCTCCTGCCCCTCCTCCTGTTCTTCCTCATCATCCGCCTGCTCCTCCTCCTCCGTCCGCTCATGCTCCTACTTGTTCTTCCTCCTG